TTTTATCTGGTGCTAATTTCCCATAGACTATGGTGAAATGAAATGCAACAATGGGTGCAGATTTTTGCATTATTTAGCTTTTAATTCTACAATTCCTTCCCAAGCGACTAGATTTAAAATATAAGTAAGGGCCGCAAGCAATTTAGTTTTTCAAATATAGAATATTATTTTTAATGGATTTTGCGTATAGAACGTCAAGATATAACTTGTTAGATATAGTAAAATAACCTGAGTAATCTATGTATACAGTTTTGTTTTAGTGGGTTTGGTGGGTTGGGTTCATTTTCTTTTCGTTATTGCTTCTGCTCTTCGTAGGTATAATGGGTTCATTTTTAAACCTTCCACCTCCGATATTTCTACTAGTAAAAAAATAATTTTGCCGAAAAAGTAATTTACTCAAGGGGACATTTAAAATCAGTGTGGGTTGTATTTTATGTGTCACCGCTTTGGTCCAGGCATCTCCATTTCAAAATTTTGAGTAGCACCTTCGTTTAAAGGCCTTAAAAACTCTATTCGCTACCGGTGAGAGAACTGAAATCGGTTGAAAGGTTCAAGAAAAAAGTTGAAAAATATTGTTAAAACATGTTTCCAGTGAAAATTTACATTTACACCCTACCATTTCAATTTTAAAACTGGCTCATTTGAACACATCTTTCTAGCGGGCCCATTCCGAACGTTCTAAAGTAAGCAAGTACTTTCCATAGAAAATGTAGAATTTTCTAAGAACTCCGAGAAGACTATGATTTTGATAAAGAATATTTGTGTCAGTGAAAATCATCTCTTTCCTTGATGACCGTGTAAATATGCATGACTGTAGATATTGGAATGATGCAATAACTCATTCATTTCGAGAGGATATACGCAATTTCCCGGAAAGCTCAGCGTTTGGGCTGTAAGTCTGGGGATGCAAATAGTAGGATTAATTGTTACCGAAGGAAATCTATTTGATGAATCGTACTTCCATTTATTAAAAATGAAATCGACTCTCGCTCATTCCACAGTTCTTACAAAGACAGGCGACAAACAGGAATTTCACATCTGGGTGTATGTCCTATGCATTTTGGCTAGTCATTATATTTTGAATGGTTATTCAGGCATTATGTAAGCAAGCTGCTTGATAGTAATATATTTCATTTGACTCACGAAAAGTCATCAAACTTATAAAAATCTTTAAAGGATAATGTTTGTGGGCAAGCAAATATCTTGAACAAAAGTCCAAAGGTTTCTTAACGAAGATGTCAACAAGCTCGTGATTTATTAAATTCGTTCATTACATAACATTTTTTGTTTTTCTTCTCAGCAACTCCAAGAAAAAAAATGTGAACATTTGAACAAAAAATACCTTTCGCTTCAACCGGTGCAATCTGAATTTTTAACTTCTGTTTGTGTGCAGCTCGCAGCTGCTAACTGCACGATAAAAAA